AAATGGCCCCTGATTCCCAGGAAACCCCAAGTTTTGTGGAAACTCGCTGAGATTCAGCAGAAGAAAATTGAAAGAATAAATAAAATGCCTATTAGTTTAAAAATATATGCCTAAGCTTTACTACACTATCTAGTTATGAAATAACTGTCATACAATTCTAAGTTATGAGTACAATATAAACATCCTAGATTTGCTAGGAAGAGGGCTCTGTGTAAATGCAGAAATGAGAACCAGATGGATCACGGGATGCTCTCCGTGAGTGAGTTATAGGGACTGGATACTCTTGCTCCTTTCCAAACAATCTATTCTATTGATTTATCTTGTTTAGTGGATTAAATTTAAAAATTTATATTTTTATTGAAGTGTAGTTGATTTACAACCTTAGCTTCAGGTGTACAGCCAAGCAATTTGATGGATTTATATTAAGCAGTCTGTACTGAATGAAATCTCTGAGGTCTTTAAAAACTGCAAATTCTTCTGATCAGGCAATCATTTCTAGGATAGCAGAACCTCTTTGGAGAGTAAAGCTCTTCAGTTGTACCTGGACATTTCCAATGAATAGAAATTGGGACACTCATGGTCAATTGAACGTCACGGTTCGTTGTCAAAGCCTTTCTCAGGGGCCCACCCCTGATTCTGTGTTAGCAGGTCACAAATAGTGCTTACCAAGTATTTTTCAGTCCGTATTTCAAGTATTTGAGGATTATTAAATAGTCTTGCAAGATTCACTTTGGACTTTGGAAAGTTTCTTTATTAATCTATCCACTGAATGTGAACTCTGTTTTAATGTATGTGAAGAGAACATCTTGGCATAACAATGTGTCATTTTTAGCATGAAATCAACCTCTCTCTGGGTTTATTCCCCATCTTGGAAAAAGCCTCCTGTATTTCAGAAAGAATATTTCTCCTCATATTCCTCCACAACCTGTTATATTTTGGTTTGTACTTGGGTTGAAATAATGTATATATTAATATGTCATAATATATCATCACATACAGAGAGCAATATACACATGCACAAAGCATGCACTCCACATGCAATCTCTTGTCGGTCAGTCTCTTAACTCTTTCCTGAGGATGAATAGTAGAAGAAAATATGTTTCCTTTAGTTCATACCAGTTAGAAGTTATAGGTTTATAAATGATGTAATTCCAGTGTTTTCTGAAATAAGTACATATACAGATAAGTAAAAGTGGCAACTTTTGTTTGTTTGTTTCTTTTTAAGTGAGTGATATCAACTGCTGTTTATAAATCAGTGAACCATGGCACTGAGAGAATAATGGATTCTGCACAGTCAACAACCACCATGCTAGGACCATGGTTCCAATCTAAGGTCCTCCAGCTTTAAATGCCTATACCCTAACCACCAAACTTTCTTTTTTTTTTTTAAATTTTTTATTGATTTATAATCACTTCACAATGTTGTGTCAAATTCCAGTGTTCAGCACCGGACTTTCAAAAGCGAATGCTTTCCTTTAAAAATGCACGAGGTTCTTGGTCTTCTGTGTTAGTTTCTCTATAAAACTTCTCATGTTCAGATTAAATTTGTACGATGAAACCATGATTTTTGTATAGACATTTGCTTTCTAACAGGATTCTTTATTGATTTTTAGGTTCCACTCTCTTTTTTTGCTGCATGTTGTAGGAAAGCAACTTCGTTTCTCTGTATCCCACGACACACTACTTCAAAGAAATGGAAAATTCAAATCCTGCTCACTATTAGTGTAATTAAAAACCAGAAAACATGACAAAACTAGTCAGTTCCCTTGCCTGTTGAGCATGGCCTCAAGATCTGTGTGTCTAATCATGAGGAAAGTATTCCCAGGGCACATGTAAGACTCCTACTCATTATGGGACTGCATCTGAAGAGTTTCTAGTAATAGAAGTTGTATTTTAAATTTCTATAATGTCTGTTTAATTCTTTCACTATATTGCTATTTTCTTGTGAAATTCTCTTTCCTTTCATCCCCGCCCCCATCTTTTCTTCTGTTTGTCTTGAATGTGTTAATCATAGCTATTTTAATGTCTTGGGCTGCAAATTCCTTATCTAGATGATCTATTCCTCTGATCTACTGTCATTTCCCCCTCAACTGTCAGTCTTATGATCTTCCTTCTTTTCATGTCTTTTGCTTTTTAATTATATACCATACATAGTGTATAAAAGAACCAAAGAGGATCCAGGTGACGTATCTTCCTCCAGGGGGAGTTCTACATTTTCTTGCATATGAGTTGGTCAGGCTGCCTTGAAGACATAAATTCAGCCTACCTCTTGTTCCATTGCTTTCCTCAGACAAGGGTCCTGCTGGGATTTAGATAGAAAATCTGGGAAGTCTTATTTTATCAGCCTTGAAAGGCTGTGGAAGTTTACGTTTAAAACGTTCAGCTTAGCTATTTAGCCCCCTGCTCTATGCTAACTCAAAATTTGGCAAATGCCTTAAAGAAGTGAACTGTGTGGTAGAGACAGGATCCCTTTCCCTAGTGGGTTTTTGTTTCCTAAGCATACTGGAACTGCAGGATATTTTATTCTGTGTTTTTGAATCTTTTGGTCTGGGTCTCTGGCTTCCCAAGTAGTCCACTGAAAACGGAAATGTACACTGGAAACATTTGGTTGTGTATTTAAAGTCTTTTAAAAGTATTCAATTTGTCAGTCCAGCCTTAAATGACTTTTATGATGTTTTTTTGTCCTTGGCAAAGTCTATCTGGGCCAAGCCCAACCCTCAGCTCACACTCAGGCTTGTCCATGGCTCCATGGGAAAAAAAATGCAGCCCCTCTTCAGCTCAGTAGGGTTTTTCCTCTCTGTAATTTTTGTCTACATGAACCTCATCACTTCCACAGCTTTCTAATGGCTTTGAAAATATGGTTGTTAAAATTAATTTGGCCTTTTCACATACATTTACCCCTCAGTCTTGGCAAGGGATTAGTTCCAGGAGCACCCACCACCTGTGCCACCCCCATACCCCAGTATGCAGGTGATCAAATCCCTTATAGAAAATGTCAGATCAAATGGATCCATGGTTGGCTGAATCTCTGGCTACTGAGGGCCTACCGTACTTGCAGTGGGAACGTTGCCCAGCTGTAACGTAATACATCCTCTTAGGAAGTGTAAGTCACAAAAGGTTACCTTAAGTGAAATAATATAGTGAATTAGGAATGTTTATTTGCTGAAAAGGAAAATAGTAAACATTTAGATGGTTGTAGAGTATGGAACTTTTGTGTCATAAACATGGTACGATAATCATGAAGCTGTCATGATTTGAAGGATCCAAGGAATTGTTATTAAAATAATCATATCTTCTCTATTACACTCAGAATATGATCAGAAATCACTGAAAATTATTTAATAGAAGCAGAGACAAGAACAGTAAGGAACTCAAGCATTTGCTAGTAAATTTTCATGTAAGGAAAGAAAAATCCTTGCTCTTCTATTATTTCATTAGCATAATAATCCATGAACAAACCATCAAACTTGCCATTATTAAATCAGGAATATTTAAGAAGAAAATATTTATATCAACTGCACATTGAGTTTACCAGAAAATTATTTCTGTTTTTTACTTTGTTTTATAAATTCCTTTCAATATCTGCCTTTTTACTAATGCACTATCAAATATTGAAAAATCTTGAAATCCCTGGTGAATGAAAATATCTTTTGGTACACTTTTTGTACACTACATATATGCAAATACACACAGATATACAAACAAACAGACACTAAACATCATCTTCAAAATATAGTTCGTTTAAAGCTATATAATCCAGTAGTAAAATTTTCATTTGAAAATTATCACTATGATTTTTGAATTAAGACCTGGCCACTAAGTACGTGGAATGAAGAAGAGCCCAGAGACTCACTGTACATACAGATTATCTTTGATTGAAGTTTTCAAAGGAAAGTTAGATAAGGTTCATTCCAGTTGGCTAAACAGTAGTATTATCAAAGTACTTTGAATCTATTAATTAGGTTCAATGGATGCAAGAAACTTAGACCATTTGGAATATAAACCCAAATTTTGTGTAAAAGGGACGAAAAACTGAGTTTGATGATTTAGTATCCAAGTATTCCATTAATTTCTGGGTTATTTAAAACTTTTTAGAAGTAAATGATTTGAAGTACAGCGTACATACAGAAAGTGCAAGTACCTTAAGTGTAAGGTGTGGTGAATTCTCACAAATTGTATACCTTATACAAGCAGCATCGAGATGAAGAATCACATGACCAGAACACCAGAGTGCCTGTCCCCGCTTTCTCCTTCCACTGAGGAACTACTACTCCGAAGTGAACCGCTGTTCTGACTTCTGTTGCCACAGATTCACTTTTGCTGGTTTTGAATTTTATACAAGTGGAATCACACAGTAGGACTTGTTTTGTGTCTATCCTTTTCACTCATCATTATGTTTGTAAAAATGGTTCATATTGTTGTATGTATTATTATTTGCATAGTGTATTATTGCAGAGTACATGATATACCATAGTTCATTTTTAGCTTATCTTATTTAACTTATATTCTCCCCACTAGAAGGTTTGAATCCATGGAGACAGGGCTCTCTGTTTCACTGATACATCTCAAGTACCTAGAACTGTGCCGCATACATAGCGAGTGGTTTATAAAGATGTGTTGAATTAAGTTAGGACTGGTGTTTAGTCATTCAGAAATCTCCCAATGCACAATATCTTGGGCCTTGCAAATTCTGCATTAACTCTGTCTCAAGTCTCTGTTTCTTCTCACTAGTCTCCTTAGTGCCCCCTTGACTTCCTTGTTCCTCAAAGTGTAAATCAGGGGATTCAGCAGGGGAGTCACCAGAGTATAGAACAGTGCAATGCTTTTGTTCACATCCTGGGAATAACTGGAGGGAGGCTGGAGGTACATGGAGATGAGTGTCCCAAAGAAAATAATCACTACCATTAGGTGAGAACCACAGGTTCCAAAAGCCTTCCTCCTCCCCTGGGCGGACTTTATTTTCAGGACTGCGTGGGTAATGTGACCATAGGATACTAAGATGAGTGACAGGGGCACCACCAAGAAGAAGACACTGACAGCAAAGAGTTCAGCCTCGTTGATGGAGGTGTTGGTGCAGGCCAGTTTCAGCATCACTGGAACTTCACAGAAGAAATGGTCCACTTGGTTTTTACCACAGAAGGGAAGAGTCATGGTCAATGCTGTGTGTACTATAGAATTGCCAAAGCCTGTGAGCCAA